TGAATTGTTGAAATCAGCAATATCGTCCAACCGACCTCTCCTACAATCATGGACAATCGAAAAGCAAGCAAATAGTAAAATTTCTCCAAGCTCTTATAAATTTGGGCTCTGTGGTGGATAACTGCATCACTGATAGATAGCTATATGTGTATGTATGTAGATATCAGTAAGAAGTGTGCACTGCAATCTAGCTCTTCACAGCACGCTTGTTAAACCTAAGGTACCTATGTTCATATATAGTTCAAAAGAAATTGGAATCTCTACAACCCAAAAGTTTATTTTGCCTGGTGTAATCGTACGCCAGGATTTACCGACTAGAAGTTTGCCGACCAGGATCAATCTTTGACATTATTGTTGTTGTAGCGTTGTTGTAGACTCAACTAACGGGAGACCCAGGAAGCGTGCAGCTTCAATGGGGTTTGTCCATAGGGACAGGGCAGCGGCAGTGTATTCACGAGGCAGCATAGCCACGCGAATGCCTTTAAGGGCCACCTCCTTCGCCTGTTCCTGGCCGGAAGTTCCACCCAGGTTTCTGGACCATGATCCCGGAGGGATGCTTGCTTCCTCAGACGCTTACTTGAAGGCGCCACTGGTTTCTCGATCTGCCTGCTACGTTTCGATGCTGATACTTCACTTGTGTTTGTGCCTCTAGGTTCCCCGCCTCTCCGCCAATCGGCGGGCGATGGTCTTTTGTGCGATGATGGCCCGAGCTTCATCTTCCCCTACTCCAGGTAGCGAAGGTACCACTTGAATCCAGAGCCGCCCAAACCAGCTCGGCGGTGGTTGTCAAACATGCTCGGATGACCCGTTGGGGGTAATTGAGGAGGTATGCACCTACGCTACTTTTTTTTCTGAGTCAGTGACCCCTCGCGGTGCCTGCTACTGGAGTGATGCCTTCTCATTGACTGACTTCGACTTTAAGCTCGGTGCTGGCTCCTTGAGCGGTGTGGGGTAATTCGTTATCTGCGTAAACGGTTTTACATACATATATACATATGTACATAAAACCATATCTTCAAATTCAGCTACCAACTCATGACTCCTACCAACGTCAACGCAAACCCATGCACATATCGTCGTTTAAAGTGCAAAACCGCGTATCAACAAAATGTAAAACCGCGTATCAAGATAATGCAAGACCGCGTATGAGAAATCTGTTGGGTTTTGATTTTTACGTAAAAATCGTATAGCAGTGTAAAGTATGCATAACTGGGCTATAAGGATTGAGCCAAGAGCTTGTGTGAGCAAATCCAATTTTTGGCAAAACATGTCAGTTACGCGGTACTTTAAACGACGATATATACATACATATGTCATTATGCTTTGGTACAAAATGGCAAATAACTAGAGTTAAGTAGTTTAAAGTTTAAGTGAAATGAAAAGTGCAATCCCTCTGAAATGTGTACTCAATAAAAATACATTTGCCCGTAGTC